TTTGCACTATAATTTTAGAGGCAGGACCACACCTGTCAATCACAGCTAATAGGGCATTCTTCTATCTTTTTTGTTCTTTATTAGTAGTCACACTCCTTTAGTACCACAGCATTCCTCTGTGTGAGATGCATGCCAGAAGACTAAGAACATGACTAAAAAATGCTTCTCTTGCTCTGCTCCTCTCTCGTGCCATTTAGAAGCCTGTATTCTTCCACAGGTAAGGGGGCCTCTTCTATCTGTGCCTGTTATCTAGGGCTAAAGCAACCTCCTCCAGCAGCAAGCCCTTTGAAGCATTTTACAAACTCGAATTTCAAAGAAAAATAAATGTTTAGGGGATATGGGAATTGATTTATGAGGAAAGATTTTAGAGGTGAACATGCATAGTTTGGCTGAAAGATGACAAAGGGGAAGAGTGGGGCCATAAATCTGCAAATATTTGAAGGGTATAAACACCAAGGAAAGGGTGGAATTATTTAAGGTTGCAGAATGGATTTGAACTAGCAATTGTGTAATGAAATAAAAGAAGAGGATTATTTAAAGATGACTTTGAGGGGAAAAAGCTTCATGAAACCAATGTACTGAGCTGCTAAAATTATCTCTTAAGGGAAGTGATAGAAGACCTCATGATTTATGATATCTAAAACCTGACTGACCAAACTTTTGAAAATAAACCATAGAAGATGGCCATGCCCTTGCATGAAAATTGATTAGAGGGCTCTAATACACATTTTTTATTTCTAATTTCTTTATTAGGTGTTCAAGGAAATCCATCTTCACCTAAATTTCAAGCAATAATTTTCACAACAGATCAGATTTTATCTATAAAGACAAAGTAATGTTAGAATTAGTGACATCCATTCTCTGAAGGATAAAAATGATTAAACACCTAAATCTTTTTTTTTAAATGAACAATAGGGCTTGAGTGTATTAAGTCTACCTGGTGACAGTGGATTTAGCAGCAGTAATTAGTTTGTTACTCATGAATATCAATCATGAGTTACTCATGAATATCAATCATTGATGCTGTTGCAAAAAAAGCAAATATGATTCTAGGTTGTATCAACAGGTGTGTTGTAAGCAAAACTCGTGAAGTCATTCTGCCGCTCTACTCTGCACTAGTTAGGCCTCAGCTGGAGTACTGTGTCCAGTTCTGGGCACCACATTTCAAGAAAGATGTGGAGAAATTGGAAAGGGTACAGAGAAGAGCGACAAGAATGATTAAAG